TGTTCGTGTATCTCACAAGAAGCCAATCTTACCTATTCTTCTTCAGCTTAGCTTCAGCTGATGGCATATTTTCTAGGCAACTGGGACAATAGTGAGAGTCCACCTGGTGAACAACAGACAAAGAAGTCACTTCATCTCTCATGATGTGTGTATTTCTGGCCAAGACAGCAGCAGCTGAAACACTTTGCGGCATGATTTCAAAATGTTTTATGGACCATAACAGCAATGTGAAGTCAGTGAAGATGTAAGACAGATGTCTGATGTTTGAAATTTTTCAGCCTGGCTTGGCAAGGAGTTTCTCTTTAGTATCTTACCACAGAAGAGGGTCTTGTCAAGAAGGATTAAATGCTACTACCTAGGAAACCGGCTAAGTTTAACTGGGCCCTGATATGTTAAAGATTACAAGAGCCTCAAGATGATAGCCATCAGTTTCTGAACTTGAATAATTAAGTCAATAGAGGACTCTTGCCTTTCATCATTTTCCAACTATATGACTACTCTATTTCCATATATGATCACCATGTGTCTAACTTTATTTTGTCATAACAACTGCATGGGTCAGCAATTAATAGTCTGGAAAGTGTTGTATAGTTATCTTGTATCTTAGAGAACATATCAATGGGAATATTATATTTCCTTATACATCCTTTTATTGACAGAGCTGAAATTAACAACTGGTAACTGTAATCTGTGAAACTGCTTCAGGTTTTGGACCTGCCAATACAGATTTTTCCTGTCTTAATATGTGATGACTAGCCCAGTCACTGCAGTGAAACAGCATGAGAGATGCAGCCAACTTACTAACCCTTTTACATTGTTAAAAAATGCTGAAACATTTGACCAAACAGATGCTTTACTTACATTAGATTATTTCATCTCCACTTTAAGTGCTTTACGAGTCTTTAGATACTTCAGAACGCAACCAAACCAGTAGCCTGACTCCAGGAATTTTGGCAGAATATCATTTTAAGCAGCAAAGAGTCCTGTGGCACCTTATAGACTAACAAACGTATTGGAGCATGAGCTTTCGTGGATGAATACCCACTTCGTCGGATGCATCCGTCTGTTAGTCTATAAGGTGCCACAGGACTCTTTGCTGCTTTTACAGATCCAGACTAACACATCTATCCCTCTGATATCATTTTAAGATTATTTTTCCAACTTTTGGTTAGGATGTGTCAACATATAACCATTTTTTCGAAAAAGTTGTAATTTGCATATAGAAAACAATATTTCCCTCACATCTTAAGCCTTTAGTATTTTATGTTTCATAAAACACAATCAGAGCAGTTTTCTTATGACCTTGTTGCTAAAGCCACCTCCGAATATAATTGTCAAGAAGTTGCAGTGCTCAAATCAGCAACCTTGGGATTGATACCTCACTAATTAAAATAACTAGTGCAAACTATTAAACACCTCTCTTGTGTTTTGTTTGATAGAAACATGGTGATCAGGATAGATTTTCAAGTGTCAGCAGTCTCTGGACAGAGGGTAACCCATTTATCCATAACCTCAGTTGATCACTATCTAGATTTTAAGTGTGAAAAGGCTTGATCTTGAATGAACCTTTTCACTGCTGAAAAACAAATTCCTGCCTGCAAAAATCTACCTTGATTTCAAATACAGGGGCAAATGGATAGTCCAGATGAAAACAATTTTTTTTTTAAATCCACAAAACAGTACCTCGGAACCCTGAATCTGGACTCAGAGCAAGTCCCAGAGGCCAATGCAAGCTTATTTGTGACAGACAATACCCACCATTACCTCCTGAAAAAGGACACTACGCAACCGCGCTTTGCATTCAGTGCTTTGTCTGGGAAGAGGTTTATACCTGACAACTCCCACCACCCCTCTGAGAGCTTGGGGAGCATCACACCTCCTGCCAGCTTGACAGTGAGGGAAAGCAGCCAAGCGCAGGCCTCGCCCATGGCCATGGAGTGAGTCTGTGGCAGTCAGGAGCTCCCGACTCCCAGGCTAGAGCTCCTCTGTCTACACCACAGTGAGTCCCTGTGCTGTGCCTACAATGCCAGCAGCCATCCTGGGGTTATCCCTGGCCTCAGGGGCAATATCAGGCAACCAAGAGAAGGGCCAGACCCTGCTAGCGGAGGGGAGCAGGAGACCTACTGGCCAGCTCAGGCCATGGGTCCTTGGCCAATAATGGGAGGTGGGGGGGACTCTGCCCAGGCCACTGGAGTGAGGGGGCTTGTTTGGGGCTGATCCCCTCAAAGATACAGATGGGGGAGGGGACCCAACCCCCATGAGGCCAGGTGGGCTCCCCCCAGGTAGCGCCTGCCTAGGACATGGGGGAGCCCCTGCCAAGCCAGGCCACCTCCCTATAGTCCAGACGGGCCTGAGTAGCTTCCACCCTCCCCCATGAATGCCTTAACCAATCAGAAGACGAAGCTGGCCGACAGACAGCGATACAAACTAATCAAGAAGCCAGACTAGTGCGAACCCCCCGCCCCCATGTAGTTGAACCAATCACAGAGGGCTCGAAGCTAATTCAGCCCCTCCCCCTCGTAGAGTCCTAGCCAATGGGAAGGACCAGAAGGCTTGAGCGGCAGGCGATGTGACCAATAGGCGCCGGGGGGCCGCCCTCCTCGCTGGCCTCCGGTTCGGCTGGCGGCGGCCCGGCCGCGGGGGTTACCTCGTGGGAGACGCACTCCAGGGAGCGGAGTTCGCTGCAGTAGCGGCAGAAGTAGAGCTGGGAGAGCGGCGCGCGGATCTCCTTTTCGCCGCGCACCAGGTACGAGACCCGCTCCGACTGCAGCAGCGACGCCATCTTGGGAGCCGGGGCCCAGCAGCCACCGCCTCGCCCCGTCACGTGATCCGGGCGCGCGGCACCCACGTGATGACCCAGCCACTTCCGGGAAAGGCACGTGGTGGGGGTTCAAAGCGGGTAGTTCCCAGGCGGGCCGGTAGGGGGAGCTGTGTGCCTTCGCCATGTGGTTCTATAGGGGCTCTGGAGCGCCTCACCAGGCCATGAGTCTATAGGGGCTATGGGGGGTTGGCCCCTAGCACCCCCCCCCCCAACCAAGCCACAGTCCTCCCCACTCCGAGCAGGGGCAGGGCCCGCCCTGTGCCATGCGCCGGGAGGGATTGTGGCCAGGCGGCAGAGCCAGCACTGTACCCCAGCAGCTGCTGTGCCCGTCCTGGGGCGGCTCCCTGGGGTTTCAGTAATGTTACCATACGTCCGGATTTTCCCAGACATGTCCAGCTTTTGGGGCCTCAAATCCCCGTCCAGGAGGAAATCCCAAAAAGCCGGACATGTCCGGGAAAATAGGGAGGGAGTGACTGGCGGTGCTCGGCCGGGGGCTGGCGCTGCTGGGGCCGGTGCTGCTCGGCCAGAACCAGGGCCAGCGCCCTAGGCAGGGCCGGCTCTGGCTTTTTTGCCTCTGCCGCCCCCTCCCCAGCGCGGCAGGGAAGGGCGCCGAGCCTGGCCACGGGCTGCAATCCCCGACCGGCCGGAGCGCCGGGGGGAGGGCGGCGAGCCTGCTGCGGCTCCGCTCTCCCCGGCGGCCAGAGCGCCGCGGGGAGGGTGGCGAGCCCAGTCGTGGCCCTGCTCTCGGGCCGGAGCGCCCCGCC